CACATACATCTCTAAACAGCTTACAAATAAAATGGCAAAATATAAAATATAAAAACTAAAACACACAGCAGTCAGGCATCCTTCAAATATCAATTCAGCGAAAAAATAAGCTTTGTCACATATCCAGGACTCTAGGCTGGGTCCTAAAATTAAATTTGTAAGGTTTTATGAAAGGCCAGTAAGAACCTGGTCAATCTGAGATAGACAATGGTCCAAAGAACTCCCCTTCTGGGTCCCACCAGTCAACCCTTCTTAGCTGACATTACCCATAGCATTACCCTCCTGCCTGTAAATGAAAGGTAAAGATAATTGGGGAACATGGTCCAATAACTAACCTAGTCACAAGCCATGAAGATATTTAAAGATAACAACCACCACCATGAATTACATTTGGAAATACAGTGAAAGCCAATGCAGCTGGCAGGGCAGTGATGTTACATGCCCTGAATAATTGGTGCCATTAACTGCGTTGCTACATTGTGCAACAGTTAAAGCTTCTTTAATTCTTCAAGCACAGCCTCATATACAGCCCATTGCAACAGTCTGGAGATGATGAGGTCATGAGCAGGACATCCCGGTCCAGGAATAAGACCAACTGACACACACTTCAAAGTGTACAAAAGTCCTCTTAGCCACAGCTGCCATTTGCCCCTTCTTTAGAGACAGATAGATTGCATATCGTGTCTGTCTGGAGTGATGACATCCCATCCAGAAATCTGAGCATTTGACTATTTGCGATCTATACTTAGATGGCTGTTTGGTTACCATAACTTGCAGAAATATAGCATCCATCCCTGCAATAATTTGAAATTATCTAAAGTAGAAGACAAGCAGAATACACAGGTATTGGCTAAACAAAGAATGGCCTATATAAACTCACCTTTTCCAACTATGCTTCATTATTTATATTACAGCTATCTAAAAACTTAATAAAATGAAAATCTTAGCCAGTTATTATTTCAACTTTTTACCTTTTGATTGCATCCCATACTTTTACTCCATCATCCCGATAGTAGTAGTATGGAATATCCTCATGGCTTTCCATATGTCTTGACTTGATTTCTTCAGGAAAGCAGAGAGAGCTGTAGGTAAGATGTTCCATTGCTCGCTGGACCATTTGCACATGCCCACCTCCTCCAGTGGCATTTGCCTTTAGCAACCAAAACAAATAATATAGGTCATTAAGAAAAATATAGTTGAGAAAGACCTCACATTCCTAAGATTAGGAGGTCACACAGAAGGATGCAAAGATCTTTATGTGTGCTGCTCTAGCTTCCACACAGGCTTGTTTTCATATTAAAGGCTTAGCCATTCAACTTCCCCACATTTTCCAAAGAAATCTTACACACCCTTTATACTACAGAATAAAACCAAGGAAAGAAATATTTGTATTTAATGTGTGGGTTTTTCCCTCTTCTGTAGGAAATAAGGGCAATTATAGCTGCTATCCAGTTCTAATAATATATGTAAATAGGGAAGCCGAAATTGGTGTCCACCAGTTAGGATGTTATGTTGAAGTTCAGGGGGGATTAATAGCCTCCCTGAGGCTTTTTCAAATTTCATAAAGTGACATTTAAAGCAGTCAGAAAATGGGGATTGAGTGAGGGAGTGTCATTTAATATAATTTAGTGGTCTATGAAGGAGCAGATGCAATGGTTTTGCCTGAGCATCATAAAGCTAGAAGCATTGTTGATCTATATCATTACGAAGTGACAAAGACAGTTGCTGTAGAATGAAACAGCATGTGTGAAGATGCTTCAACTGTTGTCAAATTCCTTAAAGAAACTCACAGTGATGAAAGCAAGATTCCCATAGATTAGGAGAGGTAGATTTGTTAAAATGAAAAAGGGTTACAAAATCTTGAAAACTGAATGTACCTTCATTTATTAATCAGTATGTTAAGGTTTATTTCCCATGACCTTTGATCTTCTTTTTAAGTCTTGGTTTAATGGAGAATATTTCCATGGGAAAACAAATTGTTTATTATGAGACAATTGACGATTTTGAAAACAAAACAACAAATAAATTTAAGACTATGAGAATATAGAAATAGGAAGAAGAAAGGTGAAATTTACAATATGACAAATGTATGTCACTTGAGACATTTCAAAGGTTTTTTGAAGAATTGGGAGATAAACCAATAATTAAACTGACAGTAAATTAATGTACTAAATGTATTTTGAAGATTTTAAAGAAAAAGTGAAAGATGTGGCAGACATTAATATGGAAGAATTTATGAATAGATAGACAGAATGAAGAGGACACACAAACTCTAGCTGATGTGGAAAGCCAAGGAGTTATGGGCACAAATGGTATTCACTTGTATTTCCAGTGGAAGATCAACATCCAATGAGGGAACAGAAACTTTTAGCAGTAAACTACTGCTTTAAGGAATGGTGCTTTTAAGACAACTTCAGATTCCAAGACCACAGTCTACATTACCTACATGAAAGGCTTCTGGAAAGGGATACCACAATTTTTTTCAGGCGCAAACCGGTAGTTATGCCAGCTGGAACCCACCCCCTATAGGTCATCTAGTCCAATCCCCTGCTCAAGAAGGAGACCCTACACCATTTCTGACAAATGCCAATTCAATCTCTTCTTGAAAGTCTCATGTGATGGGAGCTCCCACAACTTCTGAAGGCAAGCTGTTCCATTGGTTGATGGTTCTCACTGTCAGAAAGTTCCTCCTTATT